TTTCCCTGCTCAGTCAACCCTAAGTGGGAGTTGCTTTCCAACTCCTCATCCCATTTTCTTGGAAGAAGTTATTTTATCTTCTGCCCCCATCTCAGCAGACTTTGTCCCAGTTGACTTTCACTCCCATTCCGAGTTCAGCTTCTGTCCCTTCGTACTGAAATCGGACTGCCGCTGCCCGAATATACCCGGAATGCTGCTGGGGGAGCAGGGCGGTTAGATGTGTCTGGTCCTGGACAGGACCTCCCAGGAGACAGCATGTGCAAAGCCTGGGCAGGCCCAAGAGCCATGGCGCTCGCAGTTGGAAATGGAATTTAGCTGTGAATGTTTACGTGGAAAATGTACCAGCTGTGCTTTTCCAAGTGTTTTTAAATTTGGGATTTTGAGGTAGTAGAAAGGCACATGCCCAACTCCGATCGTCCTTCTGTCAGATTTTACGCGCCTGCTAAAGCGTAACGGGTGCAGGAGTATTTCAGACAAAGGGTTTTCAGAAGGTAGCACGTAATTTTTCTTAGGTCTGTCTCTCGCAAACAGCACAACTGTCTTGCATCCAGTCATCCAGTCACAAAGCTGAGGGAGACATCTAGCAGGAAAAATTTCAAATGCGCATAGTTTGGCAAAGTTATGCTCCATGGTTTTATCATTGGAAAGAATTAGAGAAGGTTTTACTGCTTCTTTCCTCAAACTTAGAAATGTAAGCCTCATAGAAAATGTGGCTTTGGTTGGACACGGTGTAGTCTTCAAACAAGGATGCTGGCTTTTCCCCACCACGGCATGTCCTTCTCCGCTGCCTTGACAAAACCCCGCGCTGGCGTTACCGAACGCAGAGTGCTTCGCTCTGTTACGTGCTTGCAAAGTAACACCCTGACCTTTTGCTTTTTTAACTTTTTAGTTGTTGCCAGTTTCTTTCCCCAAGAACTGAAGTTGATTGCTGTGTGAGACAAAAGCGAAGCCACTCGGATGCCAAGCCGGGGGATGGAGGGTGTCCCACTGCTCCTGCTCAGCACACGAGTCACTCGGCAACGGCTAACCCGGGAGAAAACTCCTCGCTTCTGCTTTGGAGAGGGGTTAGGTTGCTGCTGGTGGTGACCCCTCGAGCCAGCTCCCCGCGGATCTGATGAGGAGCTGTGGGTCAGGGGCTGGCCGCACCCGGGG